GAAGCCGAGATGCAACAAAGTATGGATCGATTCTCTGCTGCTTGTGCTAATTTTGGCCTAATAATTAACACCAAGAAAACACAGATGTTCCATCAGCCACCACCACACCATCCATATGTGGAACCATGGTTACAACAAATGGAGTTTTGAATGCTGTGAATAAGTTTACTTACCTTGGTAGTGTACTTTCCAGGGATGTACACACTGATAATGAGGTTGACACATGCATTGCCCACTAGCTCAGCGTTTGGGAAGCTACAAAGGAAAGTATGGGGGAGAAGAGGTATTAAACTGACTACCAAACTGAAAGTCTACAGAGCCATTGTACTGACCTCATGGTTGTATGCCTGTGAAACCTGGACAGTCTACCAGTGCCATGCCAGGAAACTGAATCGCTTCCATTTGAATTCTCTTAGGAAGATTCTGAAGATCACCTGGCAGGACAGAAGCCAGACAATGAGGTCCTTCCTCGAACTAAACTGCCAAGCATTCAAATTCTGCTTCAGAGAGCACAACTCAGATAGGCTGGCCACGATGTTCAAATGCAAAATGTACGCTTGACAACGAGACTATTTTATAGAGAACTCACACAAGGCAAGCATTCACGTGGTGGTCAGAAGAAGCAATACAAGGACACTCTCAAGGTCTCTCTTAAGAACTCTGAGAATGACTGTGTGACATGGGAGACATTGCACAGGACTGCTCGGCATGGCGTGCCCACGACAGAAAAGGTGCTGTGCTTTATAAGCAAAGCAGAATTGAAATGGCTCAAGAGAAACAAAGAGATATAAATTTAGAGAACCTACCCCAAAGGTTCACACAGACTATTTGTGCCTGACCTGTGGCAGAACATTCCGAGCTTGTATTGGTCTGGTCAGCCACAGTAGGACACACTAAAACTTAACTCTAGCACAGTGATGTCATTTTGGTCCTCTTTGAAAACGGACAACTGTGAAGGGTGTAATAGAGAATCAGAGAACAAAAAGTCCAAATGCTGAGAGTTCCCCCATAGAGGTTAGATCAATTTGTAGAGGGTACTATCAACACAATTGTATGACTTTTTCCCAGCCTCATTCAGTGGGAGTAAAATCAGGTGAGGCAGATGGTGACAGCAATTAAGGTTTGGAATTTGGCAAGGCATGATCAAAAGGGCAAGGCATACAGGAATAGAAGACAGTGTAATGTTGGACTGGTTAACTACAAGGTCCTGATGGAGAGGACAGCAAAATGAAGCCAGAGTAGCTCTGGAGAGTACTCAGAGAGACTAAAAGTGATGTTAAGGATGCAGGACAGATTTAGGCACAGGGAGAGATGGAATTTTACAGGTTATAGTCGTATAAAAGAACTTCTTCATTATTCATCTTAAAAGAGAAATACTTGTAGGTGATGGAAGATAAAGGGTGTAGCTGTCCCTTTCAGTGGCCAAGATAGAGTAGTAGGTCATATGAGTTGACGAGACAGGAAGGCCAGGATGTTTAAAGGAAAAATTAACATGTATGTTGAAGTCCCCTAAAATAATCTCAGGAGAAGGTTTTAAACCAGGAAATGAATGCAAAGGGGATAAGGAACGAGCTGGGGGCTGGTAGATAATGGCCACCAGGATCAATACTGGGGTCTGTTTTTTGGATAGTGAACTGCAAAGGTGGGAGGAGAGGGAGAGGGTGAGGTTGGTGACAGATGGCCACAGAAAGGAAGTCTGGAGGTAGCAGTGTGGGGAATGATTAGTACTGACTCCCTCTGCAAGACCAGGCTGGTGGTGGTGGTAGTAATGAATTAAGGCGCAACTAATACTAGGAAGGATGGCAAGGGGTTGCAGTGGCTTCTGGGAAGTAATTAGATCTCTATTAAGGGCCTGAAGACAGTTACATCACACAACCGCTCACTGGGACTATCTTGAGGTCAAGAAGAAGATACCTGAGAGGCCTCATGGATGCAGTTAGATCCCATACATATTAACTGATGAGAAACAGTCTTTCCAGGGCAAATAGGCCTACGTGGAAAGAGACAGAAATGCTAAGGTGTGGTTTATCAGAGCTTTAACACTCCCAGAGAATTTTGTTACACATCCTTATACTCTCCTATAGAACAAAATTTTTAAAAAGGAGGCATAAAATATCTGTTACTAGATTAGAAGCTACACTAATGTTTTGATTGCTTAATATGTATGCTGCTGGGAATTTAACTTTCACGTAATACATACAATATAAAATTTCTCAATTTTCCTAATATATTTCTGATTAATACATTTGCCCCTACACTAATTTTTACTTCTATATACACTTCATTCACATGTGATATATGCACTTAAACTTCAGTTGCCATGGTGAATAACTGATATGTAAATAACAGATGATTATGGAAAATATGTGACAGGGTATAGAAAAAAAGATGTGTGTCTAGGACCAAAAGAAAAGAAAGTGGAAGACTCCTGAAAATAAATCAAAGACTGCTTCTGTTTAAAAATTTAATTTTAATTAAAGTTAATCTTGAATGACAATACAGTGAAAATACATCAATTGAAAATAATCATTTAATACAATTGGCCCATATAAGAATACAAATGTTGTTATCATGTGTTCTAATTCCCTGAAATGACTCAGATGGGAAGGCCTGAACCTGTCCAAGGAAACATAACAATGAGTAGTGATTTCCCAAGTCAAAACTACAAAGAACAGCATTATAAGGCTGAAGATAAATGCTAATAAAAAAAAATTGTGTAACTCCTTTCATACAAATTCAGACTTCTCTCTAGGCCAAAAAACAAATTATGTTTGTAGGGAAACCAATTCAATCCCCTCTTCATTGAGTTCCCTCTCAGATCAAGGGACAACTCTTTCCCTCCTGCCTGAACACTCCACACACCCCCACACACCCCCATACACCCTGCCCCACCCTCCAGCCTACCCCTAGCCCTTTGGATTTTGTAATTCCTTGCACTGACCCATATATCACTTTGTAGATGAGCACTAGTGAGTTTTCAGATATTCTCAAAGTGTGAAGAGTGAAACAGAGAATCAATTAGATAGTAAAAGGATTGCCTTTACAAAGTCTAAATGACTTGCCACCCAGTGTTACACAGCTAGTGTCAAAAGGGGGGGAAATGGAAGACAAATCTTCCTGCTGCTAGTATCATATTACCTCTTATGATTTGCTTCAATTAAAAACAGGCTTAAAATATCTCCCTTAATTTTTACAAACACTGCTCTAGGGACAGGTTTCCTGACAGATGTAGGGAATTCTTGAGTCTGTCCATGAGTATGATGGAAACTCCCCTTCAGGAAAGAAATCAGTCTTCAAATCTCCCGCTGGAGAATTATCAATGACACAGCCGAGATCTCCTTAGTGAAGATGTTTTTTGTAGTAATGGCTACAGAACTACAAAATCCTTACTTTACAATTTACTCTGCAGAGTGGCTTTTCTGGTGTCGAGATAAGTTTGAGCTCCATCTGAACTTTTTTCCACATTTATTACATCTGTAGGGTCTCTCTCGGGTGTGAAATCTGTCATGCATAAGAAGCTGGGATTTCTTACAAAAGGTTTTCTCACACATGTTACATTTATAGACTCTCTCTCTAATATGGAATTTTTGATGTGAGGTAAGACTTGAGTTCTGGGAAAATGTTTTTGTACTATCATTTTCACAAGGTTTCTCTCCAGTGTGTATTTTCCAATGTAAGCTAAGGACTGAGGCACAGCTGAAGGACTGCCCACATTTACTACAGTTATAAGGTTTTTCACAACCACGTCTTCGTTGATGCTCAGTAAGTCTAGTATTCCTACTGAAGGTTTTGCCACCCTGCTGACCTTTAAAGAGTTTCTCCTCACTATGAATCTTCTGGTGATCAATCAGTCTATCTTTCTGGCTGAAGACTTTACCACATTCTTGACATTTATAATGTCTCATCCTAGTGTGACTTCTCTGATGTTGAGTGAAGTTTGACTTCCACCTGAAGCCTTTCCCACAGAAACTACATTTATAAGGTTGTTCTCCAGTATGCAGTCTCTGATGTATAATAAGCGATGACTTCTGAGAAAAGGTTTTTCCACATTGACTACATTCACAGCAATTCATGACACGATGAGCTTTAAAGATATGAGTCCTCTGATGTACAATAAGGTATGGCTTACAACTGAAAGCTTTCCCACATTGACTGCATTCATAGGGTTTCTCCCCAGTGTGAATTCTCTGATGATCAATAAGGGTTCTCTTCCGAGTGAAAGTTTTCCCACATTCATGACACATATAAGACTTCTTTTCAGTGTGGATTTTCTGGTGTTGAATGTCAGATCTACGACAAAAAATTCTTCTTTGCTCATTACCTTTATCATAGGCCTCCTCAGTATGGCTTCTTCGATGTCGAGCAAAGCCTGAGCCCCACCTAAAGTCTTTCCCACAAATGTTACATTTATAAGGTTTCTTTTGGTTATGAGTTCTCTCATGAAGAAAAAGGTATGACTTACGATTAAAAGCTTTCCCACACTTACTACATTCATAGGGTCTCTCCCCAGTGTGAATTCTCTTGTGCTCAACAAGGCTCCTGTTTCTTGTAAAAGTTTTCCCACAGTCTTTACATCTATAGGGTTTCTCCCCAGTGTGAATTTTCTGATGATCAAGAAGAGTTCTGTTTCTTGTAAAAGTTTTCCCACACTCTTTGCATCTATAGGGTTTCTCTCCAGTATGAATTATCTGATGATCAAGAAGGGTTCTGTTTCTTGTAAAAGTCTTCCCACATTCTTTGCACTTAAAGCATTTCTCCCCAGTATGGACTTTCCTATGTTTATTAAATGCTGAGATGTGCCTCAAAGTTCTACTGTATCTATTACTTATGTGGCATTTCTTCCCAAAGTGGCCCCTTTGATGAATAATGTACTGGGAAATTCTAGTGAAGTCTTTTCCACATTCTTGGCATTTATAGAATTTTGGTCCACTATGAATTCTTCTATGTCGAGCAAAGTTGGAGCTCCACCTGAAGGTCTTCCCACACTCTTTACATTTATACGGCCTCTCCCGTGTATGAAGTCTTTGGTGGTGTTCGAGATGTGAGCGATGATTGAAGGACTTGTCACAGTCTTTGCATTTATAGGGCATATGTTCACCCTTTATTCTTTGAGCTTGACCAAATCCTATAGTATGACTGGATGCTTTCCCAACTTCACTGCATTTAAAGGATTTCTCTCCACTATGAGTTTTTTGATGTTGAAAAAGGTCTGAACTATGTCTAAAGTACCTGCTACACTCATCACATTTGTAGGCTTTCTCTAGTTTGGGAACTCTTTGATGACTAACAAGGTTTGAGCTTAAATGTCTCTCAAAATTCTCACCTGTCTCCCCTGTAGTGGCTTTTATATCCTTGCCTGCCATGTACTTGAAATCTCTCTCCCTTCTCTTCTTAATTTCCACAGCTGAATTGCCCCCCTGCTTCTCCCTCTTGATCTTGTGTTCATAAGACTCTTTAAAATGAGGCTGCTCAGGAACACTGGTCTGGAGATCTCCCAGAAATGATGCTTGAGAATCTTCTTCACCAATTTCCTGATTTACAATCAACTTCTCATCCTCATTATGGGGTTCACCATCTAGCATAAAAGGAAATCAAGAATTGTCACATACTCCAATAAGGGATGAAAAAAGTATCAACTGATACAAAAATGTTCTGAATGTGCATGGTTTTTTGGGGGGGGGGAGGGGGGTGAAGATGGCTGGATCTAGGATTTTATTGGCATAAGGAACTCCCTCTATCAATGCAGCTCAGCAACTGTTTTGAGTTAAATCACTTGCCCTGGGTTAGGTAGCCAGTATGTGTCAGAAGGAGGATTTGAACCCAGGTCTTCCTAAATCCAAGACTAGCTTCTCTGGCTTTTGGATAATCCAAAAAAAAAAGAGCTTGACAATATGGGCAAGGGATAATATGAAACATGGATTTTGGAAGGGAATTTATCATTCAATAAAAACTACTGGAAAAAGTAGATACTGATATGGTAAAAAAATAAGATTCAATCCACATTTTACATTCAGTTCAATCCAATAAACATTAAGAGACTACTATGTGCCAGGCACTGCACTAAATGCTAGGGATACAAAAGGAGACAAAAGATAGTCCCTGCCCTCAAGGAGCTTATAATCTAATCATCATAAATGACCATAAATTCCAAGTGGATATACAGTCATTTATAAAATAATTTAGGGAAGATAAATCTAATGGAAATGTAACCTGGCAGCTTTCTTTGCAGGGGCTGTAGCTCCTGCCTCCCCAGCAGCTACAACTACTAAAGACTCAAAAAAAGAAAAAAAGCTCTCATCACTAAAGTCCTTGACACTGTCAAATAGCTCACCATCAGAAACTGAAATGGTTTTCTTAATGGAAAGGACATTAAAAAAGATGTATTACCATCTGACTGGCTACTGTACCCTAGGGACCTTTTCATATGACTTGCAGCTAAAACTTCCTCTATGTGTTTTCTCCCCTATTAGAAAACGCATTCCGCAGGGACTGACTTGCATTTCTGTTTATTTGCCCAAAGTTTTGCAATGCTTTTTTTATGTGTATTAGGCCTAGGACCTAACGCTTTTTCATTCATTCATTCAGTGGAAAAGGGTGGAAAAATATTAAAAATGGGAAAAAATAAATTGGAAAGAACAAACCAAGCCTTATATTCTGTGGTAGAAAGGGAGTATATGAGAGAAAGAAGGTGGGAGAAGTACATTCTATAAAGGAAATATGGAACAGGAATAACCAAGAGTTGGTAAATAATAACTGAGGGTACAATAGAAGAATAATAAAAATGACTATTTCTAGATCATTTTAGGATTTATAAAGTGCCCTCTATACAACATCTCTAGTTATCACAATTGAACTGAGAAACTAAGTCTGAGCAAAGCTATTTATTGCCAAAGGCATGCAATTTGCAAACAAATCAGGCCTTACTCCTCAGTAGGCAAAAAGACCACAAGGTGAAACTTACAAGACTTCTTATAGTTTAGGGAAGTAAAAAAAATAAATCAAAGAAATGTAGGCAGGACATAGGATCAAGTCATCTAACCTCTATAGGTGGAAAGGACTAGAGTATCTTTCTTGTTGCTAGGGAATTCTGATAAGTTGTGTCCACCTGATTCCTGCAAGGATGGCTAGTGGTACAGAGATAACAGATTTCCTGGTGTCCACCTATATCCTGCAGGAACAGCTAGTGATGCAGACAACAGGTTTCTTCAACAAAGACAGCACAGTGATTTTTAGGAACACTGAACTTTTGAACTTAACTCAGAGACAAAGAAATGTGACTTAGGCAGTTATACAAAATATCAGTGGAGAAACAGAATGAAATTCATTACAAAATAGAATCAATTTGATTTTCTCAATTTCTCAATTCCCCACTTTGACTTATGGGAGACATGTCTCATGTGGATATTCATCTATAAGATTTTTAACATAGTATCAGCTGTATGCACTAACGTAAGCCTTTCTAAGAAGCACGTTTGGAACAGGCTTTAACACAGTAACTAATACAAAGTCTCAACAGGATTATAAGGCAGAAGGCAATCAGGGCCCACTTACTCAGGGTGGCTAACAAGCCATTTTCTGTAGCCACATGACCAAGAATAAGGACTCCCCCAGGGATCATGTGGGGTGGGTAGTTGTGCCTCTCCTGTAACCTGTTGGATCGTATGTAGCCTTTTCACAATTTCTCCTGACTGGTTAATATACAAACAAGACTGATTAATTTTAATGCAAACCTCTCCCTGAGTCATAGTAAGAACTGCTAAAGAATCTACCTCAATCTAGAGGGGAGGAGCTGGAATCACTTGTGGCCTGAAACAACTTCTTAATTTCAAACGAAAGATTCAAACTCCTTGGAAGGCTCACTGTGGACTAATTTGAGAGGGGAGATTTATATGCCACCAAGGTAACCAATAAAACTCAGCAAACATAAACACCATGACCAAAAGGCCAAAGTAATACCATGACGATTATCACTATTAAATGACATCAAGTCTCCCTGTATCCTAATAACCCACTCCCAATGTCTTTTTAATCAGCACATTTCATCTCAAGTCCTAGATGTCCCAGGTAATCAATGTGGTCCCTGGAAACATCTATGGAACATTCTGGAATAGGTCTTATTCTCAGGGAAGCTCTTAGAGGGCTCCTCCTTGAAGATCTGCTTCTCTGGTTCCAAATTATCTCCAGAGATTATCCAATACAATTTAGTACAACCTTCAAAATTTGATTTTGCAATAACTAAGTATTCACGTGGTAAAAAAACCTGCTGAAGCCTTATGGTTCTGGTCTTATTAACAATAAAGCTACAAGAAGAGCATCAAATAAAGAACCTATAGTTCATGTAAAACTTCAGAGAATTTCAGTTATTACATACCACTTGCTATTTCTATTTACCTAAACCCTGTACCTGATGTAGACACTGCCAGCAACAGACTGAAGGAAGAGTCTTAAAAAGAATCAATAAGGTCCTGACTTGTGAAATGGGCCCTTCTGTCTCTTTAAATTACCAGACAGTTACTTCAAATAGGGAAAAGATGACTTAAAATTTCTTCACATTTATTAATGCAATTTTATATGTAAAATCTTCAATCCAATTTTTTAAAATTTATTATTTCACTGAAAACATTTGGAAGCCAATTATATGCATCTTAGAGAAAAGTCTAACCCAGTTGTTTCCTCAAAGTTGACTATTTTCTTTAATTAGAAAATTAAAAAGCATATTTATCTTATTAGGAAATTTTTCCATCTTTGTCTTAATTCCCCCCTTAAGAAGAAATCATCACTATTAGCAAGGGGCTGGCAACCCCAACAATTCATTTACTTAGTTGCTTAGGATACGAAATTGCCCAAAACTTAATATTTAAAAAATAAGATTTTTTTTTACTTTAGTCCTATTATTTAGTCCTATAAAGTCCTATACTTTAGTCCTATATATAATTATATTTATAACATATATATTACTATATATACTATAGTCCTATAGGGCTATATAGTCCTAATAGATGTTTCAGTATTATTCAATTAATAGATGTAGTATTGCAACAACAAAACTTTTACAGTTAACCTACCCAGATTATAGGAATTTGCTATGAAAGGAAAAAGGAGAAGCATGATTCTTCCCTCAAGCCTAAGCCTGAGGGTAAAAAGTGATTTAACAGAAGTATAACAGGATAAAGCATCCTTTGTTCTCTTTGATTTTAGGTAAGAGTCATAGTTAACTTTTTTTGGAATAGCCAATCATGCAATTATTCACAGAGTACATAGCCAGGCTCAGGATTAACCAGGGGAAAAAAAATATTACTGTTATTATTATTTCTCTCATGTTGTTGCAATAACAGTTAAGAATAAAAAGTTTACCAAGCCTTTAAAAAAAAATCATTCAATATCCTTTGTTCTTCTTGAGTTAAGACTCATCCTGGCATAAAAATCAATCATGAAAAATAAAGAAAATTCTACATAAATGGTGAATATACTATCAAAACACAGATAGTGAATATGCTATATAAATATATATTATGTATAATATTACATACTATATATTACATATATAATATTATGTATAATATTACATATTATATATTACATATATAATATATATTATATAAACATATAAACACAGAAAAATACTGGCTAAGGCATTGTATATTAATTCCTTAAGGCAAAAATAAATCTTTAAGACTGAAGTCTGTTAAGACTAAATTGGTTTAAGATGTAACTTCAATATATGCTATTCCAGGTGTAATTTCATAATTTTCATAATCACAAATCATCACACAAATCATTTCTATCCTACAAACTTGTTTCTCTCCCCTTTTTGTAAGAAGTGTTGGTAATGAAAGAGGGGATCCCATTTTCTAAGTAATTCTCTCAAAAACTCTCAGTAATTTTCTCAAAATTCATTATTTTGGAATTTTACAACATTTAGCAAGTTCTTCCACAAGGCTAAGATTTTATGACTTCACCCAAACAGATGGTCCCAAGAAACCTGGCAGGCTTATAAATAAGATTTTACAAAGTCTTTTTTTCCCTTTTCCCACAATTATTATTCCTCCTTTCTAAATATACCCAATTAAATGTTTGATAGATTTAAACATTATGACAACAGACTGATAATTAATAATTTCACAGCCTCCAAATCAAAACAATTAAAAGTCCAAATAATACAATTAATAGTATCTCTTATACCATGATTTCTCACAATTCACAATAAAAGAAAATTTAGAAACACAATAACATAGGCAATATTACGTATTTAAAACATAAAACTTATTGCCAGTCAAATGACATCAACTTGGTGGAATGCATTTCCAGATTATCTTACACAGAAAATCATCCACCTTATCACCTTTTGCATTTTATACTAAGTTCATTCAAGACCAGTATAGAGTAATTCTGATCCAATTATACTTTTAACAAAACTTATTTTTGCAATTTCTAAATATAGTACCTTGCTGCCAAATATTATATGTCTTTTCCATTAAGGTCTGATTTACTTATAAAGGGTCAAATATACCAATCATCCTCACAGAACACATCTCCCTAAAAATTAGATTAGAAAAAATTCAGTCACATCTGGATCTCTATGTACAAATGATATCATATGGCATCTCAATTTTCCCAAGGGCCATTTATTGTTAATCACTTCACATTACAGGAACTGCTACTTTCAGTTAGTCTACTGCTCAAGACTTAAAGTGGCAGTCTTACAGTCTCATCTCCCTCTTTTAGGGTCCAAGAGGATTTTACTGAAACATGCCCTAATGGTCCTTCAAGGACAGAATTTTAGTATACTATCTTCAAATAATTCCATGTTGTAAATATATTATTGTAGTTTCCATATCATAAATAACTACAAAAGAAATTAAATTTAAAAAAAGAATAACCACATAAAGTTTCTCATTGTTATCTCAACGAGATCAAAACCTCCCTTCAGTCAGTACAGACAGACTACAACTCTCTTTGACTTTCTACCTGTTCTCATCTCACTCTTATTTGTTTGAACTCTTTCCCTTCAGTGGAATTTGATTAAAGCCCTTTAAATCTGCACCTGTTCTGTTTCTTTTATATTCTGACTCATACCCCAGACTATCTATAAAACTAATCTTCACTCCACTGATTATTTTTTGTTACAATTTAGCACACATCTTTAATACAGAATACCAATTAACTATAATATTATTGCCTTTCAGGTTTTAGAAAGACTTTATATTTACCTAGACAATTCAGTCGTTCTATCATTTGCAAGAAGAAAATACAGCAGTAACACCAAAACATTCTTCCAAATTAAATTTTACTTATTCTTTGGTTGCTCCCTAATTTAAACAACCTTCTCTCTATACATGCAAAGATTTAATAATAGGCAGTTCTTAAGTACTAGATAAATTTAAATTGCAAACTGCAACCGTTTTAATTAGTGAAATAAACATCTTCCCTTACACTAAAACAATAAATCTGTCACTCTCCACGGAAAAAGAAATAAAAGATCTAAATGCTATTTCCTTGTAACTTTCACAAAGTCTTATTCTTATTTTTTCTAAAAACAAACTCTTACCCCAAAATTCAATAAAATATTTCAGCATTTATAAAAATATTCAAACCACATTTTGGAAATTCACAGTAGAAAAATTACATTTCAGTCACAAATTTAGTCTCTAATTTGCAGAATAGGAACAAAGATTCCCTCTTATCTGTGTCTCTTGTCTGCTTTCCAACTTGGCCAGAGTTTAGAAAGGCAGAGAGCGAGAGAGCTAGAGTGAGAGATTTTTTTCTAAAGAATATTTTTATTATTTCTCTCAATTACATGTAAAAACAATTTTTAACAATCGTTTTTTTATAATGTTTGAGTTCCAAATTCTCTCCCGCCCTTCCTCCCACTCTCCTTGAGAAGACAAGCATTTTGATATAGGTTACACATGCACAGTCATGTGAAACATAATTCTGTATTAGCCATGTTGCAAAAGAAAACACAGACAAAAAAAAATAAAGTAAAATAGTATGGTTCCATCTACAGTGAGACTCCATCAGTTGTTTCTCTGGAGGAGGATGGCATTTTTCATCTTAAGTCCTTCAGAATTGTCTTCGATCACTGTATTGCTGAGAATAGTTAAGTCATTCCCATTTGATCATCATACAATATTGCTGTTACTATGTACAATGATCTCCTGGCTCTGCTCACTTCACTTTGCATCAGTTCATGTAAGCCTTCCCAGGTTTTTCTGAAACCACCTTGCTCATCATTTCTTATAGAACAATAATATTCCATCACAATCATATACCACAACTTATTCAGCCATTCCCCAATTAATGGGCATCCCTTCCATTTCCAATTTTTTGCCACCACAAAAAGAGCTGCTAAAAATATTTTTGTACATATAGGACCTTTTCCTATTTCTTTGATCTCTTTGGGATACAGACCTAGTACTGATATTGCTGGGTCAAAGGTATGCACAGTATTATAGCCCTTTGGGCATAGTTCCAAACTGCTCTTCAAAATGGTTGGATCAGTTCACAACTCCAATAGTGCATTAGTTTCCCAATTTTTTCACAATCCCTCCAACATTTGTCAATTTCCTTTTTTTTTTTGTCATATTAGCCAATCTGATAGGTATGAGGTAGTACTTTAGAGTTGTTTTAATTTGTTTTCCTTCTCACCTGCACAAGTATTTTTCAGATCTTCCTGATCCAGGGCTTCCTGAAGGTCCGACGATGCTTGCTCCAGCTTGGAAATCACAGCAGGTTTGGAAAATGGACTTGCTGCTCAAAGGGAAGAGAATAAAAGAAGATCAAGAAGGGAATTGCATCATTCTGTCCCAGAGCTCCACCTCAACCCAATGTCTTGAGGAAAAAGGAAGAAAATACCCAGGAAGCCTATGGGAGGAAGACATCAAGGGAGATGAAAGGGACCAGGAAAGGAAGCTGAGATCTATGCTCCCAAAGAGCAGGGGGGAAATATTTAGCCCAGCTACCTTTTTTTTCCTTGGATAGGAAGAAGACTGAAAATTCTCAGAGTGGGAAAATTTGCACTGGGAACACCTAGATAAATCTAACAGACTATTAGATCCCACAAAAAATACCTTCTACAAAAAGACCAAAAAGGATCAGAAAGTGGGGGTACTAAGGAGGGTGGAGACCCATGCAGACAACAAGAATGATGTATTGTACACTTTCAACCTACACAGAATTAACCTCTATGGGAAATGTCTCCAGGGGAACAAGCCAAAAAGGTTCCTATCTCATTGCAAAGGGACCAAAAGAACAAGCCCTGCCTGGCAATCCTGGTGAAAGGGCAGTCAGAACATGTGACTTCTGAACACTAACAAGTGATAAGCGGAGAACAACTCATCAGCAATTTGTGACAGCTTTGGGCAGGGAATGTGGAAGAGTAAGGGTCTTACCTAGAGAGGCCAGATTCCCATAATTCTCCAGCATCACGTTCCTATACAGGGCCCGCTGAGCAGAGGAGAGATGTGACCATTCTGCCTCACTGAAGTGTATGGCCACATCCTCAAACATCACAGAGTCCTGAAACAAACCAATTCTGTTGTCCCACATCCACCAAAGAGCATGAGGGACAATATCTGTTTCTAAAGTAGGGAAGAGATACAGAAGGAAAGGTTCAGAATTGTGTAAGAGATAACCAGTGCTGAAATGTCAGGAGGCTACCTGCTGTGGACAGAGTAATCCCAGGACAAGGGAAGGTGCTGCAGTGACAATCTTAGAATGGACAAAGAGAGTTACAATTTACCTGCAATCTAGCTTCTGGAGACGTAGCCATCACCTGATCTCCTCTGCTCCCCTCTTGAGAAACGTCAGGTACTTGGGGAGTTGGAGCAACTAAAAAGAAAGAGGCATGAGGGAGACCCCTGCCCAGGAAGTTCCCTCGTCCCACCACTAACGACCCCAGTTCAACAGACACAAAAAGAAACAAATACAGCCTTTCTCCAAAGTCTTAACTGTTTCAGAATCGGAAATTAGGAAACAGAATCAGCTCTTAAGTCTGTCGTATGCACATGGCAATGGTCCCTATACCACGCGGCAGGGCAGTGGATGGGGGTGGGAATGAACCCAGGAAGCAGAAAAAATGACCAATACAATTAGTTTAGCAAAGCTGAGACTCAATCTCAAACCCAAACTCAAATCCTTTGAACCAAACTGGTGCACAGAACTTACAGCTGGAAGATTTAAAGAAAAATACTTTCAATTCTTTCCTTTTAAACTGAGGCCCATGAAATTTAAGAGATTTTCCCCAAAGTCACACAGGTAATAAGTGACTGTGCCAAGATCAGAGCCCAGGCCTTCTGGTGTGATTCTGGCTCTCCACATAGTTGAAATAACATACCCAGGTCTCTGAAAACGCATGGTGATAAAAAGGTACAAGTAAGTTTACCTTAGAACTTTCTTGAGAGCAAGACTATTCTCAAAGAGACATGCTGGAAAGAAGTTCAAAGGAAAGACAGAGCAGGTCTGGGACAATGGAAGGTGAAGGGAAGCTGCTACAAAGGAGAGAAGGACTGAGCAACAAGTCAGTCGAAGCGGGACCACAGTGTGAGGGACAGCAGGTACCTTTTGGGGGATCCTGGAGGTGGAACATCCCAGTGTCAAAGGCAGAGTCCAAATGAGTCCTGCGTGAGGAGTAATCCCTGAAGGATGGAATAGGAAGGGATTCCTGCGCTGCTCCCAGAGATGTAGTCCCCATCCACAGCACGTCCTGAACCTGCGCTCGGGCTGAAACCTAGAAACAAGGAGGTACAATTAGGCCTGGGAGTTAATCATCACGGGAAGAGGAACCTGAATCTAAGAGAAGAAACCACCATCCCAGAGGAATACAGGGTAGAAAGGATGGGACTCAGAAAACCAGGAGAGGAAAGTGCATTCTAGATATCACAGAAGTGAGAAGCATCAACCACACTTACGGAATAAGGAGTAGTAACATCAGTTCCCACTTCTATAGCACTTGAACAATGACCAAGTGCTTTCCTCACAACTGCCTTGTGAGATCAGATTATGAGTAGAAGTGGAAGGCACTTACAAATTCATCTAGTTCAGCACTAAGGCACAGCATGGTGCAGTAGAAAGAGCCCTGGAGGGGTACAGCCAAGATAGCAGAGTGATCGGAAGAATCCCCAACCCCAACTCCTCCAACCAGATCTAGAAAATGGACCAGACAGGACCCTAATGGTCAAAGTCAAGAAAAAGTCACAGAGAGTCATTTGTCCAGTCCAGATTGGCAAAAGGAGACAGAGAAGTCTGAGGACACTGGGGACAGGATCAGGCCAGAAGCATGCTGCACTGGAGCAGGAAGACATCCCAGACCCATACTGGGGCACTGAAACCTCATCTGGAATACAGGAACAAGCTAACTGGCTGCTGACCGGCACTTCTGTCTCTTACCATCCAGTACTGGGTCATACATCTGGGGCATACTGAGGAGGGGACCAATGCCTAGAGGCAGCATTCCAAAATAAGGAGCAGTCACAGAGCCTACCCTGTGTACCCGAGGAAAAGTAATAAAGTCCAGAAGCAATCAGCAGCTGTGTGGCTGGCCACTAGAGCAGAATGGGATTTCAGTTTCAGCTTGTAGCCCAGTCTGAAGCTTGCAGAAGAATAACCAGGGCAAGAATCCCACAGTAACAAGGAGCCTGCTGTTCAGTCCCTCTTAGCCAGCACAGCTGCCCAGCTGGCTAACAATGGCTGAGTCTAGCAACAGTCCACTGTTTCCAGGACCCAAACCCAGGGTAGGAATTTGCAGAGCTCAGACCAGCAGGCAGTGATCAGACCTTCCCCCCAGATCAGACCACTTTGGGAGCATGTTGTGTGTCCTGAGACAGAGGTGCCGGGAGATCCTAAAACAACACAACACTCAATACCCCCAAGAAAGCAGAAACAGGACTAGTCTAGACTTTCTCTCTAGAAGTGGCCAAAACCCAGCCCTAACATAAAAAGCTATTTGGTGACAGGGAAGCTCAAGATACAAACCTAGAAGAAGAAAATGACTCCAAAACAGTTACAAGCAAACCCTTAACGAAAAAAAAAAGGCAGCATGCGCACAAGTTCAAATAGGATCCCTAGGACAGATGAAGAATTAAAGAGGTAAAAAAAAATTTTTTTAATGAATTTTTTTTTTATAAATGAAACGACAGCACTAGAAGAAAAAAAAATAAGAGCTATGGAAGAAAGAATTAGAAAGGAAATTAGGCTGGCACAAGAGGTAGAAAACCTTGCAAAAACAACAAACTCCCTAAAAATGAAAATGGACCAAATAGAAGCCAATGATTCTGTGAGAAAACAAGAAAAATTAAAGTCAAAAGACAAAAAAAAAAAAGAAGAAGAAGAAAATGTAGGGTATCTAACCACAAAAACAACTGGCCTGGAAAACAGATTAAGGAGGGAAAAAAAACAAGAAAAATTGAATTACCTGAAAGCCATGACCAAAAAAGAGCATAGATATCATATTTCACGAAATTTTGAAAGAAAACTGCCTAGACCCCTTAGAACCAGAGAACAAATTGGAAATAACTGATCACCTCACGAAAAATTTCAAAATGAAAACTCCCAGGAACATTATCGCCAAAATCCAAATCTTCTACCAGGTTATAGAAAAAATACTGAAAGCAGAAAAAATTCAAGTAATGAAGAGCTAGGGCTAAGATCACATACAATGAAGAGAGGAACTTCGAATAGTCTTCCAGACGGTAAAGAAGGTAGGCTTACAGCCAAGAATAACTTACTCTGAAAAACTGAGTATAATCATAAAGAGTAAATAAATGGATCTTTAAATTAATGGATTAAAAAACTTCCAAAAACGTCTGATGAAAAGACCAGAGCTGTGTACAAACTCTGAAGTTCAAACAAGAGCTAAGAGAAATATAAAAAGGTAAACAGGAACGGACAAGGGACAAAATAATGATAAAACTCCTTATGTTCTAACGTGGTGAGATGATACATGTGTCTCCTCTGAATGCTGATATTATCTGGAGTTACAGAGCCTAATTAGACAGAAGACCAGGATGTGGTTCTATTATGTCTTGATCTTAAAAGAACGGAAAGAGAAAAGTAATACACTAGTGGGGAAAGGAAGGTTAGGGAAAATTACTTCATATAATCAAAGTAATAATTGCTAGGTAAATATCAGCTCTGACTATTATTGGGGAAAAGTCAAAGATGCTTTCAAAAATTTAGAGGCCAACTAACTGTAAGAAAGAGGCTACCGCTGACAGACATAGAGATAACAGCAGAAGCTGGAATGGCAACTAAAATTCTTGAGGGAGAAAGTTATCAGGAGGGAAAGAGGAGCACAGTATTAAGGCCAAAGCCTTGAATATGCAGGAAGAAAAGGGATGACCAACAGAGAAGGCACTAAGCCCTTGGTTTTGACAATTTGATGGGAAACTGTTCTTACCATCAGGAGCAGCTGGGTTTAGATCCCACATCTGACACTTATCAGCTGTGTGGGCTGGGGCACGTCCTGTAAACTTCTCAATGATCTAGGAGGAGGTTGCCTATCTTTTCTTGATTCAAGGTAGCCTTACTTTAGTGTCTCAGTGATTTTTTTCCACTGTGTCTCTAGGCTAAAAGAAATAACTCAAAATTCTGTTTATGTAGTTTGGTCAGACATTTAAAACATCCTGCAGTGCCTGCTGCACCCTATAAGTTTGCTTCTTGCAAAGGCTGGGAACTTTAAATCCAGGCAGCTCTCTAAGTGGCAGAGGAACCAGCCTGCATAGGGAGAAGGAATCCCTTTGCTAATAAAATTACAAATGTAGTCCCAGCCTTATTAAGAGTAGTCACCCTGCCACGGCTAGTAGGCAAAAGTTCTAAACCTAGAGTCTGTTTTTTCAACATTTCATTAAATGTGTTTCAATATGATTGATTTCCTATTGTAATCTTATATATTTTATTTTATGTATTTAAAAACATTATTCTGCTTCACCAGACTGTCAGAGGGTTAACTCTGCTCTCAGATATTAAGGAATTGGGAGTTAAAGAAATGGATTTATAGACTACTTTTTAAATAAGTTTTAGAGTAAAAAGAGAAACAAGACAGGAGTCAAAGGAGAAAGCAAGGCATCAAATTTTTCAAACAAGTAGTAAAGATGTACACATGTTTGAAGGGAGGGATTGTCCACCACATTAGGTCATCCTGACAAAGTTGGTCCCCTTCAGGGTAAAAAGGCTGCTATTGCTATACTATGCATATTAGTTACTAGGATTTTGTTTTTTGTTTTTTTCTTTTGGGGGGACGAAAGGGAGAAGGGTGAAGCGAAAAATAAATGCTTGATAAATTTTTTAAATAACTTTTAAATTAAAAAACAAATATAAGCTGATCAGTAAAAACCTATTAAAATCACAAACAATATAGAAAATAAATGCTAAGGAGGACACAAAATTCCCCAAAGGAGTCAAATTTGCAACTGAACAAGAGAAGTTTAAGACAAATAAAAGAATGTCCAAATCCACTAAGTTTCTAAGGAAGGGGTGGGAGTCTCTTAACTCTTGCTATTAAATTGGAAAAGTTTTCAGTTTGGGCCCAGCTACAGATTACGTCTATTCTTCCAGGCAGCTTCCCTAAGAGAGGAGAGCCATCACCAGAAGGTCACCAGAGGATGAATTTTTTGGTCACAGCTGTTCTTAAAGGATGACAAGATCATAGATTTTAGACTAGAAAGGACCATATAGATCATCAAGTGTAACATCTCATTTTACAGATGAGGAAACTGAAGCCCAGAGAGATCAAGAATCATAATTAGTAAGCACTTGAGGCAAGGTTCTGACTCAGATTTTACTGTCTTCAAGTCACTAGTGTCCCTGGGCCCTCAAGTTGTTTTTGCCTGACTGGCAAGCTAAGAATGACTTTTATATTTTTAAATGGTTGAAAAAAGTTTTTTTAATTTCTCATGAAAATTATGTGAAATTCAAATTTCAATATCCATAAATAAAGTTTTACTGGAACCCATTAGGTCATTTGCTAACATATTATTTACAGCTATTTTTGCACTACAATGGTGGTTTTAACAGACTAAGACTGGGAACATTATAAATTAAAGTGATCACTCCCAAATTTGATGTTTCTTAATGAATTCTGGCAAAAAACTATGAGGCAAAACAGCACTTATATGAAAAACTTTTAGTGTAGGAGAGTCAAGGTAAAGTCAATTCCATGACAACCAGTACTGTTTGAACCACAAGTAATATCAAGCTGTTTTATACATTTCCAGTACTGTCAAAAGTTAAAAAAAGAAGCCAGATCACCATTCCCCCACAAATTTGCAGTGGCATATTTTCAGAACTCAAACTATAGCTTCAGCAATGTTTTTTGGACCTTGATTACAAGTGCAAAAGAAATTTCAGTATTTCAAAATCAATTTAACTGTGCAATTAAGGAGCTTCCACCTAACCTTCAACTGGAAGTTATTAACTTGCTAAAATGTAAAATTCAAGAGAAGAATCTAACAGAATCCTATAAATGCCTTCCAGTGCTCAAGGACTAATATTAGTATTTGACAGTACCTATCTGTGTGAAGACATTTTCAGAGATGAAATATGCAACATCTCATTACAGAACTGCATTAACAGATGAACATTTGCAATAGATTTTAATAGCCAACACTAACTTGAAACCCCAATTAAGTGAAATGGAATCCTCCCCCCAAAAACAGAAGTTCATTCTTCACATTACTAGACCAATATTACAAAAATTTGTACAATTATTGCATTTTGAATTCATCAATAAAAAATTGTTTAAATTTATTATAGAAATATATATGTAATATTCTCAATTTTGCCTCTTGGCTGCAAAATCTAAAATATTTACTATCTAGCACTTTATACAAAAAAAGTTTGCCAATTCCTTCATTAATCAGGCTTCCTCTCTGAGAAACTTGAAACACTGTGAAAGATGGCTAACCTAGAAAACAAGTTAAGGATAGATAATTGAAGAATCACTGGACTCCATGAAACTCATGATTTAAAAACAAAACAAAAAAACAAAACCTTGGACACTATTAGACTATTTCAAGGAATCATAAATGAAAACTGCCCTGATTTAGCAGAACTAAAGGGCAAAGTAAAGACAGAAAAAAAATCTATAAGCTATTTGCTGAAAGAAAACCCAAAAGGAAATCACTGGAAATGTCATGGTAAAACTCCAGAGCTTCCAGATCAAATAAAAAATACTTCCAGAAAGAAGCAGTTCAAGTACCAAGGGACCACATTCAGGATCACACAAGACTAGGCAACATCTTTGATAAATGAGAGGAGATTTTAAAACAAAATATTCCAGAAGGCAAAAGATACAAGCTTACAAACAAGAATAACACTCCCTGAAAAGGGGGAGGAAAGGGGGAGGGAAGGAGGGGAGAAAAGAAAGGAAGATGTACTTTTAATGGAAAAGAGCACTTAAAAGCATTTCTAAGGAAAAAAATAAAAGACTAGAGCTTAGGAAATTCGAAGTACAAATACAAGAGTCAAGAGAAACCTAGAAAGATAAACTTATTTGAGCAACTGGAAGGGGCCATATAATGATATAATGCTAACTTTGTATTAGGGTGAGAAGACACAAGTGTCCCTTTCAAAATCTGAATGTCTTCAGAGGATACTGAAATAGTTAAATAAGACCAAGGACCTAGGGATGGATTAGCTCTTTTCAGAGAGTCTGAAGGGAGGGGAAAGAAGTAAGGGTAAAATGAAAACACTAGTGTAGAAAAACAGCTAACATTTATATACTGCTTTAAGCATAGAAAGTACTTAATAATTATCTCATTTAATCCTCACAACAACCCTAGAAGGTAAGTGCTATTTTTAACTCCATTTTACAGATGAAGAAACTGAAACAAAGGTTAAGTGATTTCCCCTCCCTGCCCTGCCCTCAACCCCAGACAGCAAAGTGCAAATTACAAGGAAAAAGAAAGAGGTTGCCCATCAATTGGGGACTGGCTAAACAAATCATAGTCCATGAATGTAACAGAATATTATTGTGCTATAAGAAATGACAAAAGAGATGATTTCAGAGAATCCCGGGCAGTTATGAACTAACCCAGGATGCAGTAAGCAAAACTAAGTCAATCTACACAAGAAGTTTTGTTAAGCATATACTCCAAAGAGATCAATGATAAGAAAAAAATAAGGCTCCATATACATTAAAATACAGCAAAACTTTCTGTGGTAGCAAAAAACTGTAAAGAAAATAGATGCACATCAATTGGGGAATATCTAAACCAAGGATTTTTAACTTGAGATCCATGAATTTATTTTAATATTTTGATAACTATATTTTAGTATAATTAATTTCCTTTTTAACCCTGCTTGTACTCTGGCAAAGAGTCCAAAGGGTTCAGACTGCCAAAGGGGTCCGGATATAAAAAAGGTTAAGGACCCATTTTGCTAAATAAATTATGGTACATGAATGTGATGGGATGTTACTCTGCTGTAAGAAACAATAAACATGATGTGTACAGAGAAGCACAGAAAGACAAATGAATTTATTTGAACAGAAGTAAGCAAAGCTAATCATATAATGAATACTAAGTAAATGGAAAGAACTACCACAAAACAATAGAATTTGAATGTGGCAAAATTACAAAGAACAAGGTTGACTTCAAAGAAGTGTTGGGAGGAAACAACTCTCTTCTTCCCCAATCCTTTGTGGAAGGGGAGGGGCTGGGGCCCACAGGTGTGGAATACTGCATTTCTGGACCTGTCCAGTGTGTGGATGTGTTTGTTTGACTTGACTATGCTTATCTGCGATAAGGGGTTTTTTCTGTTGTTGCCGTTGTTTTTTCAGTTTTTAAATGGGGGGAGAGTGGTTCATAATAATGATGTACCTAGGTGGCCACTGGATAGAGTGCCAGCCCTGCAGTCAGGAGGACCTGAGTTCAAATCTGGCCTCAGACACTTGATACTTACTAGCTGTGTGACCCTACCTAAGCAAGTCACTTGACCCTCAGCAAGTCATTTATCCCTGACTGCCTTGCCAAAATAATAATAATAATAACAATGATGCAAAAAAAAAAAGAGGGCCATTAAAACTTTTTTTTTTTAAATGCACAGAAGGAAACAGAAGGAAATTCAGAAGGAAACACGAGCATGCAGGCCAATTCTGAAAACAATATTTTGAATTTAGTGCAGTATACACTTCAAAAAAAAAATAGCCAATAGTACAAAATAACAATTTTGTGCAACAGTACAAGTCTGATAGTTTCCTATAGAATCCTGTTTGGGGGTTCTACTATGGCAGGGGTGGAAAACTTGAGGCCTAAAGGCCACATGTGGTCCTCGAGGTCCTCAAGTATAGCCCTTTGACTGAATCCAAACTTCACAAAACAAATCCTCTTAATAAAAGGATTTGTTCTGTAAAACTTAGACTCAGTCAAAAGGCCCCACCCCAGACCTAGAAGGCCACACATGGCCTCCAGGCCCCAGGCTCCCCATCCCTGTGCTATGGGAATGAAACAGTGGGAACCTTTGGAAATGGACACAGGAAGACAGGAGATCACTCAGGGCATTAGGAAAGGAGGGGCAGGGCAGAATAGAGGCCCTAGGCCAGTTCCTATGAGTTAGAGGAAGTGCAAGGTTTACAGAGAAGATTAAGCCATAGATTCAGGTCTGGGAGTGGAAACCCAAACCTTAGGACAGTGAGTACCTTATTTAGGATAACAAATGTGTGTGTGTGGGGGGGGTTACTCAAAGACTTTCATGGGGCTCTGCTTTCCCCAAGCAAACTGAGGGTATCCATGATAAACTGAGACCAGATAACATTCTTCTGTTGCACTCTGCATCTTACACAAGGCTTTCCTTACAACTTGAGGAAAGTGGTAAGAGTATTCTCCTCATTCCCCAAATGAGGAAACTGAGGCTGCTCAAGGGAGGTACCATAATTTGCTTATGGTCCCAAGAATATCAAGTGATGGAACGGGGTCTAGAAACCAAGTCTTTAATTCTGAAGCCCAAATGCTCTTTCTACTAAGTTTTGTAGGCTTTGTCACTGCTAATGCTATTTGAGGTTGGCAATGGCATGGGAATTAAATCAATTCTTTCTTAATACGGCATTTTGTGGCAAGAAGGGCAAGTTCCATCACACTTCCCAGACCTGAGGGCTCAGACCCTAATAGAAAAACAAATGGTACCAGACTTGGCAGTGGACAAATAGAGCCCTGCCATGTACCTTTCTCCCCTAGTCTCTCCCCTCCTCCCCCTCCTCATGGACCTAGCTACCCTTCTCACCTCCCTTTCTTGTTCATCGAAGTATCTCTCAACACCTTTCACAAGGGCCACAACTTCCTTCCCATTCTCTGGGTGGTGGAGCAGAACCCAGGTACGAATGTCCCCAGGCAGGATGGTCAAGAACTGCTCCAGCACCAGTCGATCCAGAATCTCTTCCTTCGTGTGAATGTCTGGCCTAAGCCACCATCGGCAAAGTTCCTGGAGTCGGACCAGGGCCTCTTGGGGCCCAGAAGTATCTTGGTAGCGCAGCTGCCTAAAGAGCTGGCGAAAGAGTTCCTGCCCAGAGCTGATGTTTCTCTGCAGGTGAGATTTCTCTCTCCAGTTATCATCTTCCTTCTTCACCACCAGATGTTGCTCTGAACCGAGGGTAGTTTTGAACAAAGTCTTCCCTCCTTTGGCAATCATGCTTGCTCAGAGAGGATGTCTTTCTCCAAAAAAGATCAAACCCTCTTTCAACTCAAGGTTCCTGGAGCTTTCCCTTCAGCCTTCCTTAGGATTGGAATAACATCACCTATAAACACAAGAAGTCAGTTAACATAAGAAGTTTATCAAATGGGAGAACTCAAGACACAGAGCATCCCAGTGAAAGGAATACAACATTCAAGACAAACCCCTAACTCCCACTTTCCTCCAACACATACCCCTACTCCAAGAAGCCTTTCCCACATAAGGACACATCATTCTTGAAAGAAGTTAATTCTTTTTCCAGACAGAGTGGTTTTAATCAGAGAGGAAGGACTTAATTCTTTTTCCAGACAATCAGAATAGTTTTAATCAGAAAGGAAGGAGTTAATTCTTTTTCCAGACAGAGTAGTTTCAATCAGAGAGTAAGGAGTTAATTCTTTTTCCAGACAATCACAGAGGTTTAATCAGAGTGGGGAAAAACAATGGATCAAGAGCCAAGAGGACCTGGATTCAAATGCTCTCCCTGCCACTTACTTGCCTATGTGACCTTGCACAAATCATTTCACTTCTATACGCTTTGGTGACTTCAATGAACTCTAAGTTTCTTTTCAACTCTAATCCACAATCTAGTTTTATATTAAATTCTGGTTTTTAGTTAGTGAACAGCTTCAATTTAATTTTTTACAACCACCAGACCTTTCTAGGTGTGTTTACTGCAAGCACACACCCAGAGCTTCAACAGAAAAGCCCCTCTGAATACAAACGTAATCCAATTCAACAAATATTTCTAAATATCTTTTACATGACAAGTTCCTCTGCTCAGTGTTGAGGATAGAGTTGAAAAACATCACAATCCCTGCCCTCAAAATCATGCACTCTCATGAGGGGGAAAGCATAGAAATGGAAGAAATACAATCTTGATCCTTCCACCTAGAACTATCATCCTATATCTTTTCTGCCCTTTGTAGTTAAAATCCTTGAAAATGCCATCTAACCAGTGCCTCCACCTTCCTCTCAATCTCTTAACCCTTTATAATCTGACTTCTGACTACATCATTCCAAGAAACTGCTCTCTCCAAAGTTACCAATGACCTCTTAGTTACCAAACCCAATGACCTTTTCTCAATCCTCATTCTCCTTGACTTCGGACATTGCTGATCACTCTCTCCAACTTGATCCAGTGACACTGACCTCATGGCTGTACCATGAATAAAACACTTCATCTCTCAGTTTTGGGCATTCTCCCTGACTGTTCTCCATGCCTACAAAACTCTTCCTCGTCACTCCCAACTACTGACCTCTCCCCCAGCTTCCCTGAAGCCCCAACTAAAATCTAATCTTCTACTTAATTCCGGTGTCTTTCCTCTGTTATTTCCTATGTATCCTATATACAGTTTGCTTTGTGTATATCTGTTTGCATGTTGTGTCGCCCATGAAATTGTAATCTCCTTGAGGGCAGGGGCTGTCTTTTGCTTCTTTTTTACATCTGCAGCACTTAGCCTAGTCCCTGGGACTTAGTAGGTACTTAATGTTTCTTCCATCCCAAATCAACTCATTAGCCAGGTCCACCAGAGATTACCCAAAAGCCCTCTGGATACAACCACAATGATGAACCAAGACCTTGGAAAGACTACAGAGAAGGTCAGAATCACAGCTGGAAAAGATCATTCAATCTAAACTCTAATTTTACAAATGAAGAAATTGAGGCCCAGAAATATAATAAAGTGAGCTGTCCAAGATGACATCCCTAGTAAATGGAAGACAAATCTCAAACTCAGGTATTCTGACTCCAAAACCTGGGATCCTACCAGTACCCCACAACAACCCCAGTAGACAGGAAACCAAGCCAAGGAAACAGCTTATTCAATTCAATGAACATTTATCAAGGGCCTACTATAAAGAAGGTATTACTCTGGGCACTGATATCATGGAAAAATTCTAAATCTGCATGAATTGCTTAATCAAATGAGAATGTACCAATTTACATCCTACATGCCAAACATAACCTAATCTGAAATACCACAATACATACAAATATTTCCTAAGATCTCTCCTTGTAGTTTCAAATCTCGATAAAGTCTGCCTGTTCCCCACCTACAACACTGCAGTCCTGGATGTACAAAATGTTTATCAATTTTCACAATTACTTTGGAATTCACTTCAAAAGGAAAGATTTTCTTCAGTTACACAAACGTTTACAATAAACTCTAAAAAACCTACTGACAAACAAGAATGTGGCCTTTTGTGTAACGAGACAGTAATAGAACAGTCCTTTCCCTGGTAATTTATGTTTTCAGGTTTACCAAGTTCAGATGATTCTGGTTCTTCCTTGTCTAGCCTCTTTCACTGATGTAGTTTTATTTGTTAACCAGTACTGAATTGTCTCCCCAGTATTCAGCACAGTGCTCTGCATGTGAAAAGTACTTAATAAACGTTTTTTCATTCATTCAAGTAGTTCTGATGATTACTGCTTTATAATACAGACTGACGTCTGGATATTATCTTTTTTCATTATTTGCCATGATGTTCCTTATCATTTGTTTCTCCAAATTAGTTGTTATCATCTAGCTAAACAAAGTATTCCTTTGATTGGCACAGCACTAAATCTGTAAATGTTTGTAGTATTACACTTTTTGTTATACTGGCAAAGCTCAGCCATGAGCACTGAATATTGCTCCAGCTATCTATATCATTCTTTATTTGTTCCTCTTTTCTTTTCTTTCTTTTTTTTTGGGGGGGGGGGTGGTGATGAAGGAAGGTTGGATCTTACTCCCTCATCCAGACTGGAAGTGCAGCAGTTACTTAGGGGCCCAATCTCAGTTTTCCATATTGGACTAAATAACTCCTTTATGCAGCCCAGTGACCTTCCCCCCAACACTTGAGGGTTCACTATACCGGTATTAGGACTTGAAGTTAACACTTGATTCCCTTTAGCAGTACTAAAACTCAGAACTCCTAAGCTCTAACAACCAGCCTCCAGTAGCAAGGATTATAGAAGGGCACCACCATGCTCATATCCGATGACATTTATCAAGTACAGAGCAAAAAAAAATTTTTTTAAGATTTTTTTTTTTTAAAACAATGTAAGAATGTGAGTGGGAAGACTACTTCAATTTTGTCTTTGTATGGCCAAGGGCCTAGCACATAGAAGGTGTTTAATACGTGTACACTGAATTGAATTGGTCCCCAAAATTCTGAGACTTTCGTGATGCCCTGGATATGTGGGTGGTGGAGGAAGCACTCTATTATTCACTTAGAAGCCTCTGAAAACCTTTTTTAACTTTCTTAAATTCTAGCTCGTTGCTGACCTTCCAAATTTATGGCCTCC